CAATTAGCGTTTGTAGAGCTCTCGAGCTCTCGATAGAATTGCACCAGTTCAACGACTTCAACGAGATTGTAAGCTTTAGAAAAGAGAATATTTCAAGAACCTAATGCATTTTACCATGACCAAAGTGAGCATGAGAGCTTTGAAAAAAAACGTGAAACGTAATCTGCACTTTTAGAAAAAAGTTTTTTTCTTTACAACAACTACTTATGCTCTGTAAATAAATTCAAAATGTTTTTACAATAATGCATCATTAGTTTTTTTGTTATTTGTCGATAAAAGAAGCTTTTACAAAGCTTTTATCATCTGGACGAAAAATTATCAGTCGATATGTGAGATAGCTACGTAGAATATACACTGCTGATAAACAGAATACTGCTTCGTCGGTAGTATACTGTCTTCAGAGTGAGCTTGCGCAAGCTCGATGGTAAAAGGAGAAATCGTTTATGGCAAGAGAGAATTTACTTCACTATTGAGGGTCACAACAACAGTAATTTTCGAACTTCAAAGCTCCTATTTCAAGCTTCAAAGTGTATGCTCACTTTGGGTTAACGACCATTAACTTGGATACTATAACACCAGAGTTCACAATGGAAAACCTATTTCAGATCTGTGAATACTTCGATCCATAGGTAAGCAAAGGCCAAAGGTCAAAGGACTCTAGACAGACAATGGATTCCTAATATTTGCCATCTCTTACATTTCTCAAAATAAAAAAAAATTATTTCCCTCCAATTATCTCACTTTTCAAACAGAAACCGAAATAATTTTATTGTACTTCTACGATTTTTTTTTAGAACATGTTAATTAAATTGTTGAAACATTTTCTGTACTTTTTTACGTTAAAACATCCAGAAAGTTTTACCTTGTTTAAATAACTAACATAAAAGTACTTTTTATTATTTTTTATTTTGATAAAAGAAGTGATTAAAGAATACAGATTTTCACTGACAGAAAAGAAATCTGTTGACATTTGTTCAAAAGAAAAAACTTGAAAAATTCAACGTTAGAATCATAGTAAAGTTAAGAATAAGCTTGTTTCCTTTTACTGATCATGCAATTTATTACAGAGTGTTTGGAGACTGGTAATTTGCTTGAGTTTCATTTCTTTTGCTTACCGAGTCACGGATGCGAATAATCATAAGGCTTTGATTGAAGAAAGAATAATGGTGAGTAGGGCAGTTAGAAAGGACAAGGGTAATTGAAAACTCGAGGACGAAATAATAGTATGAATTTTTTAGTTATTCATTCTATCAAATTACTGAACTTCATGAAATAACATTTTTGCAGATTATTAATATCAAAATTATTCACTCTATTAATTCTGATAACAGATAACTAATAAATAAATAACTGGAAAAAACGTCAATTGACTGTGATAAGATAATTGGCATTCTATTAAATGATTTGTGAAAGATTACTGATTTATTTTATCTTCATTTTTCCCACGAGTTTTTGAGATGATATGTTTTTAATTGTTATACTAAAAATAAATTAATAAATATATATTTAAAATTTCAATTCACTTGATTCACAGTCATTATCATCATTAATAAACAATCCTTTTACTGTACGTTTATCATGGAACCATTCAAGCATCTAAACTTGTCTGACCACTTCAAAAGCTCTTCTATATGAAAATCTACCTGAAAAACTTTCGAGTAAAACGAAAGCCTGTAAAACTGACGAATTACCAAACATGAAGAGTGTGGTATCAAATAAATGAACAGAAGAAACATTTCTTTTATAGTTTACCTGCACATACAGAAGCTTGCACAAATAGAGTCTGATCTAGTCAGACCCATCAGAATAGAATAGAAATACAAGGTAGAAGGAATTCAATTACTCACAGACGAAACTAAGAAAATCTTTAAATTGGTTTTGTTTAGATAAAAATTAATTTGGTTTAGAAATATTCATTGATGATCAAGTATTTTTAAAATAATTAATAATTAGCAATCTAAAGGTTATGATTGTCTGTTGTTATTATTCATCAATTCATCAAAATTTATGTCATTCATGAGAATTCCTGGTAATTCAAATGATATTAGGCACTCGATTAAATAAACACATTATAAATTGCACCGATTGGTAGGGAACTAATATACAAGCTACATTAGTGCTTCAGTGTATATCATAGGAATAAATTCGCTTCCTATAACATTCTGATTAAGTTCATTGACATTTTCAGAAATATTTTATGAATGTTCACATGAAAGCTTCTGATAAATAACTCGAAAACTAACGAAGTCTGAACTGTTGTGTCATGATTTAATAATTAATAAATTAAATAATAACTTTAATTTTATAGATAGAAAAAATTATTAAATGTTTCTTTTAACTATTAAATATGTATTAATTAACGAGCAGAATTGATCTTTTTTATTGACAAATAATTAGATGAAGAAAAAAAAAGATTTTATTGATCGAACCGGTTCGTTGCGAAAGATACATAGTTTTGTGAATTTTTAAATATGTATCTAAACTTGTTCTGTAACTCTTTACTCTAGAGAATACAAATGATAAAGAATTTGTATACAAATAACAAAACTTTGTTGCTGGCGATATCTTGAGAGCAACTGACTCAGTCTATGTACACGGACTGCAGTCAATCAATACATCTTGACGTATCTCAGGCCTGATAAAATTATCAAAAAAAACTGATTTAATCATTTTTGAACCACTTAGTTTAATGAAGATTTCAGCAAATTTCAGATAAATGCAGTCTTTCTATCAGAAATGTCAATCTCAACGTTGTCTACTGTTTTTCTATCTTAAAAATAAAATGAAATTCTATTAACATTTTCACCTTTAGAAAGAACTCGCTTTGAATTTAATTTAATTAACTGCTTTTTTTATACAAACTAAATTAATTAATAAACTGAACAAAAATTCATTTCATGTTTATTGTATAAAAATTGCGTTTAATTGATTAAAAAAAAATTTTTTTCTTACTAAGTATGAAAATATTACGATTTAGTAAAATCTCAAACGATTGTGAGTACATTTCTGACTTCAACATCAAACAAAAGACAGAAAATAGTTCATTCTTATTCGCGAAAGGTATTCAAACAATGTAACAAAAGAAGTACAAAAATTATCAAATAAAATTTCATAAAGTTTTCACGAAATTAATATAAATAGAACATTTCCAATAAATTTACTTTGAATAGCAGTCAACTAATAAATCAAATGATAAAATAAAAACGATTATATGGTTAAACCAAAATTAAATTACCTATTCCAATAAAATAACTGAAACAAAGTGGGATAAAAAGCAATAAAATAGAGTAAGTATGTTTGAAGGGTCAGCGATGCCCAATCATTTCAATTTTCTTGGCAATCAATAAAATCTTCTCACCATGATCAGATGAGCGGTCTGGTTAATCGAATTGGTTTACGAGCCACTCCCAAAGCTTCTCGCCAAATTCATAGAATCACATTCCATGCTCTTGTTGTCAGAGAGGAGGAACGCTTGAGAATAATAATCGAAAATTTTGGCGTCGCCAACCAGGAGATTCAGGACTAACAAAGGATTATTGAGCAATCGTTTTCCAATATAGGAGCTTATATAGACCATGGGGTCTATGACCACGTCATTTACCTGTAGGTCAATCTCGTTCACCATTATACATTCGTTCGTAACAGAATCTATATAAAACTTGCTAATATTCCACCTCGGTTTTGTTCAGTTTAACTACATAATAAATTTATATGGAATTATTATACCATTTATTTAAACTGAATTAATGCAATTAGATAATTAAGATTGATTACACAAAACACTGAAACTTTCTCAAGACTAAAAGATGTTCTAGTTGACGTTGTACGGCTTAATATAAAGTTACGAATCTCCAATTGCAAGTTTTTCCATTTATAGCCGCGAAAAGTAATCTAGATTTAAAACTTTTGATATTATGATTCTACTTTATTCGGTTTTTATGAAAAAGAAATGAGTCAAATCTGAAAAATTTTCAGTGACTTTTAAATATTTATTGAAATTTTCGTTCATATTAAATGATTATATTCCCACAAAAGGAAGGATTGGGATTCTTTTACGGCTTCTTGACATCAAGGAATCTCCAAACTATAAAAGTCCTTTCTGATTCATTCTCATGAAATGATACTCGAAAATGTCATGATTCTGATTCCTTTCACTGACAAATAACTTGGAAGATATATTGTCCAAAATTTCTAGTGGTTCACCAACGATGAAAAAAAAATAAAACGACCGGGAAATAGTAAAACAGAGAATTTCCTTTCCAGGAATGATAGCAAGGGTTTTCAGGGAGAGTGTCTCTGTTACAAGGTAGTAGGTATATGACTTCTTGGATCTCTGCCAACGTCATCTGCGAGTCAGACTTTGAGCCGGAGAAGTAAAATAGCCCATTAACGCCGTCTCTAAAACTACGAGTAAGATCCTGAAGGACACAAATGGCTAGCTTATCTTTATTCCTTAAATAAAGGGTCTATTAAAAAGGAGACTAATGAATGCAGTCGATTTATTTTGTGCTTTTCACTCAATTTTTATCAAAATATTCAATATCTGATTTTTATGCTGCTACGATTGCTTCTAAAAATAAAACAATTCGTTCAAGTTCATGAATAATCATTGATCCAGGATGTACTCATTCGATAAAACATTGAAATTGTAACTTCTAAAGAATTCAACATCGCAATAAATTTTATCTCGATGAAAACAAACAGGAATTTTGGATTTTTCTGTGTATCAATTTGATTATGACCACTTCCGTGAATTCATTGTGTTAAATATCAATATTGTGTCATTAGTCGTGGATTTTTATCTGTGATCGATATCTTTCGTGATTGAACATTATCCTTTAAAATATTGATTATTAATGACTATAAGACTTTTCTTGAAATGTTTATCATAATCTTAGCTATCAACATCATCTAAATCACTGCGCAATTCAGACATTTTGTTATAAAAAATTGCTCCCTGTATCTAATCTTCATCTACTCGTAATCTTAACTCTTTGACGTGATTTGAAAAAGTATCAGTGTTTAAATCATTCCAAATTTGCCACGAGGATGATATATAAATCCAGGCGGACCGGAATAAAGCACATTCGTGAACGTTCCGGGTTTGAAAACATGTGGACTTTAATAACAATCTTAAGTGTGATAGCTGTATCACAGGGTAATTTGATATTTCAAATAATTTTTTTAAAGCCTTTTTTATGCTAATTTTTTGATATGTTTGATTTTAAAATTACTGAGATTTACTTGTAAATTATTGATTCAGCTGGAAGACTGCCAGAGTCTTTCCATGGACGAGTCATCAATGGAGAAGATGCTGTGCTCGGTGAAATCCCATATCAAGTAAGCAAATATCTTGTGAATAAATAAACATAAAGATATCTTGAAATATGAAAACAAACTTATTTCATTATTTATCTACTCTGTTTTAATATCACGAATTTCTTGATCAAATATCTCTCACTAATTTCCCTTAAAAAATAAATCTTTAAAAATTTTTTTCTTTGCATCAGGTATCACTTCAATATGTATATAACAATTTCCACTTCTGTGGAGGTTCAGTTTTGAACGAAAAATATGTTATCACAGCAGCTCACTGTATTCAAGGGTAAATATCATGTGTATAATTGAAATTAATTGTACAAAAAAAAAATTCGAGTGTGTATGTTAATTCGAGAAAATAAAATTTCAGGAAAAGTCCATCACAAATAAAAGTAATCGCAGCAACAGTTGATTTGAAAGACCCTCAATCAGAATTCAAAGTTGAAAAAATAATTAAACACACAAAATACAATTCTTACGACTCTTGGGTTCATGACATTGCTTTAATAAAAATTAAAGATGAATTTGTTGTTAACAAAGTTTTAAACTTTGTATCTCTACCACCCAAAGGATATGTAGTTCCTGAAAAAGCAGTGGCGCGTATATCTGGCTGGGGTTCTCTTTGGGTAAATTTGAGACAAACTTTGTTTCAAACATATTCTTACTAATGAGCATTAATATTTTCAATAAATACGTTCATATATTTTAGGAGGGTGGAATGAGCCCTGATGTTCTTCAAAAAGCTGAGATTGAGACTGCTGAACATAACTACTGTAAGCAGGTTTATAAGAATATAGCATTGAACATCTACCAAACACATCTGTGTGCATACGACCCTGTTGAATCTACTGGCTCTTGTCACGTAAGTTTTTTTTTTATTTAGTTTTGAAATTAAATTATCATTTTTTTTATTTAAAAGTTTGAGGCGTGGATAATTTCTTAATTTTGAAAAAACTTTTAATTGAAAATCTCTTGTCTATGTGAAAGTTCTTTTAATTTATTATGAAGATAAAACTACAAAGCCTAGATAACTTGGATGATGAAAGAGTAATACTAAATAAAACAGAGTGATTTGCTATGTAGACGTGAAACGGTCAGGCAGAAATAATTCAGTTATCGATATTAACAATTCTATCAAAATGGATATACTCGAATATCGGTGAAAAATAGAGAAAAAAGAATAAATCCTAAATGTTTAATACACAGAAACAAAATTCAGTTCAAATGTTATGAGCCAGCGTTTCTATTTTAAAAGAAAAAAAATTTTTTATCGTCAATGTTACATAAACTTTTGACTTAACTTTTTTCAGTTTTTTTTTTCCAAAAATAATTGCTTAAAATTTTTCATTTAATATTTTAGGGTGACTCTGGTGGACCATTAGTAGTGGATGAAAAACTCGTTGGACTGGTATCCTGGGCTAATGGTTGTGCTTCAACAAAATATCCAACAGTATACACGCGTGTAACTGAATATTTGGACTGGATTGAAGAGAATGCTGTATAATTAATTAGTTTGTGTAAACTCGAAATGTTTTATTTAACAAATTTTAATTTTGCATTCAGTCAGCTTCAAAGAAACCTATGGTACAGATTTTTTATCACAATTCATTTCCCCGGAGCAAAATAATTATTAAATATCGGCAAAAGCTTCGTGTATATGCTAATAACTGATTGACCTCAACAAAAGTAATTTTTTTATACGTCACGAATGAAAGTTATAAATAAATAAAATGATTCATTCAATAAAAAGGTCTTTTTTTTCTTTTAAATTTCATATTCTTAACGTTAGAAATGTAAGTTTTGGTATCTAGTAGTCTTCTGGCGTTAGCCTAAAATCCTTAACAGAGAATTAACTTGATAGTTATATAGCAAATCCTAGTTGTGAGTATGTAAACCAAGTTAAGCTTTAACTAAGGTTCTTACAGCTTTCTCTTTGGTACAAAATATTGACATAGTGCCAGGAAGATAATGTACTTCTACTTTGTGGTGTACTTCAACAATATACACTCATCGTTGAAGTTTTGCAGTACTTCACTTGCAGTGAAACTCAAAGAAGTTTGTTTGTACCTAAGATTCATGAGCGTCGACCCAAATTATAATTACAACCGAATGACATCTAAGGTTGAATAAAGAAATTTTTGTACAAAAAAAATGTAATTCAGATGAAAAAAGAATCTAAAAAAAAACTAGAGTGAATCGATAGAAACCACGATTTTTAATTTCTATGTTTCCAGATATTTTTGAAGAATTTTAAACGCCCGAAACATCAAAGTAACATGCTGTTGAACCGATCAAAAGTGACGTGATGGTCTAATATTTGTTGAGATTTATTAAAAAAATTGGAAACAATTCAATCAGACTAATATATTAATATTTTTGTATAAATTAATAATAATGATGTAGTCAATTTAATTTTTTCAAGCCTATTATTATCTATGATTATCACTGACTATAATCTCCGGTGGCATGATTGACAGTAATAATCTCGCATCAATGCATATTGCATCTAAGCTAATAAAGTATGAAAACTATACATTCATTGACGTTGATAATATAATTGTGATAATCAATATCATTGTATAACATAATAATAATAATGTACCTCTCATTATACTTTAAAAAGATAATATCATTTGAAATTTTTTTATCCTAGTTTATTTGTCCAAACAAGATCAGATATTCAAAATTGGATCAAGCAAGATAATAGATAGTTGATAGAGCAGTCGTGGCAAATAAATCGGTAGATATTTAATTGTTTTCATGACAAACTCTCCTTATCTCAAAAAAATTATCCCGCAAATAAAATACATTCGACCCTAATTCATCAGGAAATTTCGAAAAAAATAAACGAATGCTAAATTGTTGATAGATAAATCAAGTTATTTATCAGAAATATTCAGAAAAACTTGGCAATACATTTCTGCTCAAAAATCCTATAAGAATTTATTGAGCATGGCAGGATTTAGAGTTATTGACATCCATATACATGCTGAAGACATCGATAACTAGAGTCAATCATGTGAAGAAAGTGAAAAATAAATGGGATCCTTATCACATCGTCATATTTTTCGACATTCCATCCGATCTTTTACCCTATCATTTTCTTAATTAAACTATTTTAAAGATATTTCAGGGGAATATTAGTGGTCCCTTGACAGCTAATGGTAAGCTTATTGGCATTATTAACGTGCGGTGTTCCAGAAATTCCTGACGTCTACACTTGGATGCCAGTGTATGTGCAGTGGATTGTACATAACAGGGTTGAGATTAAATATTAACTATTATACCCATGTGGAAAAAATGACTAACACAGTCTAATGATCAAATGAATCCTACAAACCAAGAAAAGCATGAAAAGTAGTTAAAAAACAATCATTTTATTTCTAATATAACAATAAATATAATGATGGATGAATTTTTTCAATTTCAATAATAGGAAATGATGAATTGCATTTTCTTTTTTTGAAGCTTTTGAGAGAAACTCTAGTGGCTCTGAGAAATAAATTACTACTCAAGGATAAAAGATTTTTTTTTTCAGCTCAGTTCAATATATCCTGATTGTCTGTCTTCCCTTATAGTAACAAACAAATATTCTTAGTCAAATTGTGCATTGGTTCTTTTACGGCAAATATATTCAGCAAAATAGACTGGAAATCCTGTTGAATGGAGAAATGAATCAAGTCTACATTGTAGAAGTGGATCGATAAGCACATGCATTCACATGTTGCTTATTTTTTTCAAGATACTCCAAAGAAATTGATGGTATTTCTACCTCTCGAGCGACGACATTAACACTTTATCATTCTGAAAATACTGCTGATTCAAACAAAAACTTAAGTGTTGAATAATTCTTAGAATAAATTATAGAAGAGCTTCGCAATAGATTTGATAGACGACTTAAGAGGTAAGTTTTATGTTACTAATGATTGTTTAATTTATTTCTATAAAAATTCAATGAGAAAAGCATGGCAAAAGATCAACGTGACTTGTTTACTCATAATTTATCTCTATTTAGGTAGAATTTGTTATTTATTATTATTTTTTTTTTTTTGCAGAAATAATGGTTGACATTTTTCTTCATTTTGCTACACTTGGACTAAAAAATGCATCGATTCAAGTTTTATTGAAGCACGCAAAGCTCAAAATTGCTACATTTGAACGTGACTAGATTATATTTCTTCGAAATAAACATTACTAGAGAAATGAGTCTATCGCCTGTTCAAATTTGTATAACGATAGACGAAATTATTTTAAGCAAATTTAACGTACTCATAATTGATAGATAATTATTTACATATACTAAAGTTCAATGATTTTTATTACGAAAAATTAAATAAGTTAATAAAGTGATATTAAATAAATAAAGTCCCTACCTAGGTGTGAAATTAAAAAAATATTCTTTTCTCTGATTTAATAAATACTTGAGTAAATTAAATATGCAGAATCCTATTATCAAATAATATTAAATGAAAAAGTGGTGAATTCTAATTAAATTCACTACTGCGATAGTTTTTTCTGTCTATTCCGGGACGTGTATTTTTTTTTCTCTTCTCTTCCAATTTACAAATGTATTATTAAGTTCTTTTTGGAAAATACATAAAAATAAAATGCATTCAGCCACAAACGTTGGTTAAGCCACAAAAAAAATTTATATCATTTTAATTAAAAAAAGCTTATACCTATTACCCTCACATTTACCAAGTCGATGAAATTGTCGGTTTTTCACAGAACACATTAATATTTAACCTACTTTACTTCGTTCCAATTTTTTTTTGAGACAAAGAAAAATTCTCATGGTAGAAAGATTCATTTCTTATTTTTATTATTGGTATTCAATTGAAGAAACAATTAATGGTCGCTTAATGTCTTTCAAGTTCTTCACTAAGAGTCTGAAGCGAAACCAAGTAGAGACATGACTACAATAGTGAGCTTGTAAAAGCTCTCAAGTAGTATGAAAGTTTAAGACCATAAGAAAAAAAAATAGTTGAGTTAACTTTTAAGTTTTAATACTCGAAAAAATACTTGACTATGATAACTTTATGGAACGTGTTATAAGAGACTCTTGTCAGTGTCCACATGTTGCTTTTTATAGAAAGAAACGGAAACAAATCTATCTAGCAGTACCAGGATTGTACAAATAAAAAAGCACTAGTGGATGAGTTGGCGCATTCGAGTACAAAGAAAAACAAAAAGAAGATAAGCTTTTTCATTTTAAAGTCTTCCAGCCGCGAAAAGTCAAACTTTACAGTACTCTTTGTAATGTATAATGGTAGATATTTACAATGCTAATGAAATTCCATTTTTCTAAGTGGCACACGACTATTCAAAGCTTTCAAGATGTCAAAAAAAAATTCTCATTTCCTAAACATTATTCTTTCTCTTGATTTACAATGAACATATTATTTATTTTTAGCAATAATTGAAATAAATGTTTCAAAATCAAGACAATTTAACAATCAAGGATTAATTAAACGTTTTATAAACTTGAATTGAATTGATTATACGAACAATATTCCAAGAACGAAGCACTAATTTGTAAAATGAAGAAACTTGTAAACTAAATATTATATCATAACACAAAAGTTTGTTGGAGATTGATAAAGAAGTTTCGTGAAATCTGATTAATAAATTTTATTTTGGTTACTCAATCACTTAAAGTTCTTGGTGTGACATGAAATAATGATCTTAGTAATAAAATTTTTGTTGCTAAAATTTCAATGAAGATCTTATCATTTATTCACAATAAATATTCTTGAGTAATCGCAAAAAAATTCCAATTCTAGAAGCACTATTATTTTCTATTGAAATTTTTCTAAGGTCCAGGAACTAGATTGTTGGTAATGTGTAGGCAACTCAACGGTGATAAAAGTTGCTTCAATGACCTCGACGCTTCGTCTTACTCCCTCAAGCCATATCTACTAACACCATTGCCTACCCTATCTTTTGCTTTTATTCTGAGGTGGCAAGGCGAATTCTATCCTCGCCGGAAGTTTAAAGTGTCTCCGACCCAATTCTTTAAAGAAAAGCTTTCAGTCTTTCTTACTTGCTAGACTAACCCATCAAAAGTATCGAAAAAGCATAACGAGTTTTAAAATTTTTTAATAGAATGTCACGAAAAAAAAAAACTGTCAATAATATTTTTCCTCGACTTCTAAAGATGTAAAAAATTTAAACAACATTGTGAAATGAAAGAGAAAAGTGAAAAATTTAAAAACAAATAATCAAAGGCCTGATTTTGAATGAATAATGAAAATTCCTATTGAAAATGTTTTTTTGAAGACTATTGCATAATTTAAATTGAGAAAACGCAACATTTAACAAGCAGACAACCTCCTTCCTTTACACTAACCACAAAGTATCCTTGTGGTCTTATATAGCATTCTAACGACTAGAGGAACAACGAAATCTTCACTTGAGAAATTCACGGTTGACAAACCTTGCAATGCTGTTACAATTTTCTTCGTCGACCTGAGCTCTATTGAAAAGCTCCCAACATTTATACCTCCCTTTTTATATGAACTCTGAAGATGATATCTTTCCTTTACTTCTTCAATGCTTTTTACCGCTAACATATACAACACTAACATTTATCGTAACTTTTTTATGAACATTTCATTCACTTAGAGTTTGGTTTATTATATTTCTACTTAAGTGAAAAATATAATCCCTGTCTGACGTCAATTTAATAATGTTCATGTCAAAATATATAATTTAATATAAAATATTTTACACTAACGTGTTCTAAAAATACTTTTCTCCAATATTCTATTTTGGTGTTAAATTTAAGACAAAATTTTATCTGCATAAAACATTTCAAAAATATTTTTTCAATATCTTAAAGTATCTACAAAATTTCATTTATAACAAAAAATTTTTTTTTCAAGATAAAGATGAAAAACTTTCAATAAGATTATATTATATTTATTTATTTATATATATATATATATATATATATATAGATTATAATTTTATTACTTGAAGTAGTTTAGTTTTAATTGATCAGCCATTAAAGGGTCTGTTAAAATGAAATTGAAATACAGTAACAAAAATTTTAGTATATAAGAAGTCGGAAAATAAATTGGCCATACAGATATAAAGAATTCTAGGACCATACTATTCCTGCGCAAGGGTGAGTTAGCGGTCGATAATTCCGTTGATGCTTGATATAGGGGTAGGTTAGCGACGCAACCGTATTTACTATCCTTACGACTCTTGGGACGTCTATTGTATAACAAGTCAGAAACAAGAATGTTGCAAAATATCGGCAATTTATGTAATAGCCACTTGACGTTTAAAGAGAGGGTACTTGACTAACAATTTATATAGATGATAACTACTAACCAAATAATATTCACCCTATGAGGAAGAAACTGGGTCAAAGCTTAGTACTAGAAGAAAATTTTCTTCTGGTTCTTTGACTTCTTTACTTGACATTTTGACTTAGAATAAATTCATTCGAGGAGAAAATTTTCGTTTTACGTTCATATCCAATATTCAACATGACATAAAACTAGAATAATCTAGCACGTAATGAATATCTTTTCAAAAAAAGAATTCAGCAAGAAACTGGCTTGTTAAAAAGACTTTTTTCACACTGATGAGAAAAAAGAAATATTTTTATAGAAAATAATTGTGTGAATAATCGTAGAAAAACGTTTCGTCTACATGTATTTAGGTGATATTTTGTTTAGAAATAAATTTTATATTTTTTAGCAAAGTATTTTAACTATACTAAAATTGATTGCATAGCCACAATCAGTGTCAAACAATATATTGATTAAAACAAAAAAAAAAGAACAATAGCTCTTTGTGATTATTCAAAAGAAAATTTAGTTTATTAATTTTCTGAAAAATAGTTGTAGATTTTTTGGAGAAAAAAGAAAGCGGAAATATCTAATGTAAACTTTTTGCTTCTCATAAATTATAAAGTGTTTTCAGAGTCACATCACTCCGGAAGGATGAAAACTAGTACAAAGTTTTGAGCAATATATTGGAAATACTAAAAATATATCGAAAGAAGAAATATGTCCAAAATATAAAATTTTACGATACATAAAATTGAAAAACGCATTCCAAATTTAAACATTCAGTCGTTTAATATTTCAATTAGTTATAATTTAAAAAATATAATATTATAATAGTAAACATGCATAATAAAAACTCCAGCACGTTTGTCCAAGGAATCAATCTTAATTGAATATTTATTAAGTTTCGTGCTGAAAAAGTACGGCAAAGTGGAGGATGTTTATGTAAAATATTTGCTAATATTGCATTCTAGAAACATGAAATAAACTTTGCATTGAATTGGGTAATTAAATTTGGGGATGGGAAAAATTGACTTTATTGAAATTGGAAATAAATAAAGATTTTTGTAACAAGCCGAAATAATTCATTCACAAATTCACCCTCGGTATTTTTGAATATAAAATGAGCTAAAGGAGTGTATGATGTTATATTAAATCTCTTGCAATAACCATCATGATGTGTAGGGTTTTATATAACATGTTTGTCGCATGCATTGTGATATAAAGAGACGTTAATGGATACCCATGCAAACATCAACGTCGTTTCGTCCTAGTTATATGACTCCACAGCGGTGTATAACTCATGAGTAACGTAAACGTTTATGTGGGAGATAATTTTCTCTGTTTATAAATTCAATGCAACAAATAATCGTTCTGATCATATCATGGCTCTCAAAACTCCACTGTCTTTTTTACGGCATAAAATTCAATAAATATTCAATTAAAAATCATTTCCTGGACAAATTGGCTGGAACTCTAATTATACACGGTGATCAAAAAAATAAAATTGTCTCATTAATGTCAGCTAATGAAAAGTATATTAAAACTTTTATATCAACTGAAAAAAAAAAGTAATCAGAAGAATAAAGTTTGAACATCTCATGCAAACTTATTGATTCTCTTACCTGTTTTCTAATCGGAGTTCCACATTCATCTTTAGTCCTCTCGAACCTCTCAAACTTGAAGCTATTACTCCTATATAACTCGTTATCACTCTGCTGACGACGACACAAACGTCGCGTAAGAGCGCGTGGTTTGCAGGGCGCGCACTCGGTAGCAAGTTCCCAATGAAGTCTCAACATTGCCAATTCTGCAGTACATCTAGCCATGGCACATCCGGCTCTTCTAACTCGACACTTGACACGCTTAATACGTCCTTCTGCTGATTTTGAATGACTACATGGTTGGCTCGTACACTCGCACGTGTATCGTGAACGCCGTGGTTTAATTGTATGAACGCAGGGCTTAGCTTCACATTCACAATTATCTTTTCCCGCTGCATGCCGACAATTCGGGCCTTCGGGACACTTGCAGATTGCATCGATGTTGGGATTCTGAATTCGTGGGGGTGGAGGAGCTGCAGGGAATGAGAAGGAACCTTGGGGACGACGACGAGATACTCCTGGGGCTGAATTATGACGACAGGGCTTCTCAGTGCAATCACACCTGTAATTATAAAAATAACATTAGAAATTATTGGAAAATTGCAGGACAATGAGTCATCATCGTTTAATGGTGAGGAAATGAATATTTAAAAGGAATAAAGTGATGAGACATCATTCGTGTTGAAGCTATGAAAACAAAAGAGCTTTACAAGGCTTTGAAATGCAAGATTTAACAATAAATCGATCATTTGTAAAAAATCCAGAATGTCACTCTGATGAATAACTTTAAAGTATTTATTAGAATAATTATTTACTCAATTAATACTTGTCGTGTGAATATTCTCGCAAAAAAAGAATCCATAGCAAATAAGGAATTTGAATTATTGTGAAATAAAAATTCAAAGTGAAAACATTTCAAGTTATGTTGTAATTACATGTTGAATAATGGATGATAACGATAGATTTATTGCTGCTCTTGTGCATAACGAATGCGATTATAAAATAATGTGACTATAAAAACTCGTGAAATCGAAATGAGATTTTATATGATTGAATTGAATTGCATATGTTAGATACTTTTTTCCAGGAAATTTCGTATAGCAAACCATCTAAAACTTGGCACAGCTTACAACGTGAACCACTTTACTTCCCTCAGACGCCTTCAAATATTGGTGCACGCATATATCCAACGAAAAGCATATTGAAGCAAATAAAATTTCAACGAAAATATCTTGACATTTACGAGCCGTGTAAAGAGCATGATTCACTTCGCTCTTGTTTCATTTGTGAAAAATTTTTATCCATCATTTTCTGTCATAGACAGCGAAAAAAGTGAACAAGCTAAAAGATGATTAAAAATATTCAATAATAAACAAAAAACAAACATCCATTTATGAAATGAATAAAAGAAAATATTTCATTAATTAAAAGTCTAGTTAACTCGTGATAAAAAAATAATGATGTTTACCTTCTGACTCGCCGCGAGGATGAGGGTCGATTTACGTGAGGACACGGCTGTGACTCTGGCGGACAGTCGCAGCTGTTTGGAGGCCGCGTGCGTCGTACCCTGATAAGCACAGGATGAACAGGACATGGTTGGACTTGACAAGAACAAACTATTTTTTGAGGACCATGAGATTTGCGGTTGTTGCCACCACGTTTTGCTCGTTGATCCACGTGCAGTTGACATGGTTGTATGGAACAACCGCAGCGTCCGGCTGTACCACGACGTCCAGCGCTCTGAACACGTCTCCACACCCGCTCCATTCAACGACCGGCGTGCCACTGACATCAGAACGTCCCACTCCACTCGTACCAGCTCGGCTTACCCCGTCATCCCTCGGGATTCCCCGTGAGCATTCGGTCTGGCGAATTTTGGAATGTTCCACACACAGCACAGACATTCATCCCCTTGCAATAGACTTATTCACCCTTTCTTCAATGCACGCAGGATCTACGGATGTTGAAATGGATGAGGGGTTATGAATTTGCTTAGTAATTGAATATAAGCTCTTATTAAAACGATATTAATTTATACAATTTTTTTTTCAGTTAATAATTAATTATAAAATAAATATACATTTTAATTTCACTTCAACTTGATCGTGTGCTCAACACCGATGCAGCAAATATTTGTTGTAAAATTCGAGGAATATTTTGCAGATCCATGCATACGAATGCTCGTCCTGATGGCATTTTTTTCATAACCCTGAAAATTGCAGAATTATGTAAATGATTTTTTCATCAATATGTAAATTATTCTTTTAACTCTTTTCCTCAAATAGGGCTTTTTTTTTACTTGAACCAATTCTGATAAATTCATATTACTTACCTATCTGCTTGATCTCCTAAAGACCCTATAAAAATAGCATACGCATTTACTTCAGGACATGAAGTTAATAATTTTCCAAATTTCTCAGGCGGAATACCGTAACGCTCCAAATTTGCATCCGAAAGAACAACAACAATAGATTCGTCAGCTTCTTCTTTAGCCAGGCTGGTAATCGCATGCTCTGTAGCCTCTAATGTATGATCACCAGACAAGCAGTACTGGGCATGAGCGTACATCGTCTGGAAATTCATCATAAACATTCCATTTCAATTTATATTACATACATACTAAGTGTACTACACACAAATTATAACCGTCAAATGGATTTCAATATGTTACCTTAATGACTTCTAGTCTTTGTTTATTGTCAGTAGGTGGTTGGTTGCAATCTACAAAAAGTATGTTATATTCGTCGCCTGAATGGCCAACGATATCGTATTTAAATTTCCCTTCGTATCCACAAAACGCTTCCATCACCATCACACATGCTTCTAGCTCCCGATACAATCTTCCATCATAGCCATTAAATCGGTACATACTCCCAGAAACGTCAACAACTAGTTTCAATCTCTTCGGTTTCAGTAGTGGTGTTCCAATTTCAGGTTCTTTCTCTGCTCTTCGTCTATAAATTGTTTTTTCTCCTGTCAAACTTTCTATCAATTTCGTATCATCTAATTCACCCGACGTTTGATGCCGTAACCATTGCCGCTCATTGCTTTTAGCTTGGAGACTTCCTAAAATTACTCTCAGAGATTTCACTTGCTTGGAAACTGCGTCGCTAAACTGAGAATATAATTTGTGATCATATTCGCTCATGCGAATTTCCTTTAAACGTTCCTTGAATGCACGAATTCCCATTTCGCGTGCTGCTTTTTTTACGTGTTCAGGTACAGCATTTTTCTCCTCGTCACTTAATTGATGAACGGTGTGACCTGCATCTAGACGATATGGTCCGCCTTTACCTCCCAATCCTGCTGTGTCCCGCCCTGTATAAAATTTATTGTTGAATTAATTTTTGTAGATTTTAATATTAATTTTTTTCAAATAAAATACAACTACGAGCGTAAATTATTAGCTTCATAATTGCATGTATCATCATTTTATTAAAATATTCACATAAAAACGATAAACATTCTTAATAATGAGTTAATACCTCCTGTTCCACCAGCCCAAGTGTTTCCACCCACATGGGGCTCATTTTTGGGATCTACTTTTCCGTGCTTTGGACCAGACACGTCGAGACCTGAATATCTCTCTTTTGTGACTTGCAAATATTCACGATTACCATTTTTATTTACGGCCACAGTTCCAATGGGAATGTCGTATTTGGTAAAAACCTTGATTAAAGTATCAAAGACTTCGGGAGAATGTCGATCAAAATCAAAAACATTGTTAACCACAGTTATCAGTGATTCATTTGGAAATCTCTGAAAAATAGCACATCTCATGTAAACAACATAAATACAATGTATAAAACATATTCTAATTTTATGTGCATTTTACATCAATTTTATTTACAATTGAAAACTGTCAATATTTTTAACAGTTTCGTGCGAGGAAATGATAGAATTGGTATTTTAATTATCTGACTGATAAGATTCTAATTTTAAGGCTATCGAATTCACAATATTCGAATGTTAAATGTATTTTACATTGACGTAATAGGAACATAAGTCAAAAATTTATTTCGTAATAAAAAGTAGCAAATAAATGAATATCGATAAATCTGAATTTTCCATGAATATAATAAAAAATTACCTGCAAATGTTTCACAATGTTTACAACTTCTCTTGTAGAGTATGGATAAGACAGAAGTCCTTGATCTGACATATTTCTCAATTCTCCAAAGGCCTGAACAAGTTTCTGAATGATTGTCTCATTTACATCAGGAGCATATTGTTTTAATAACATAATCTCATCTTCCATACTTGGATTATCAACAGAATGAGTACTGAATAAATCGCCTAAAGCACCAAAAAAATCATTCCCCAAAAACGGGAAGCCTGGACGGTTGGCTAGCACTATCATTCGAAAATCTTGATGAATTACTATTGTATTAGGATCTTTATCATGATTTTCATGCTTGCTTGGTGAAATAATCCGTCTTCCGTCAGATAAAGTCATCTGCCCACTTTCAGCGAGAGTCTATAGATACAGAAAAATTATTAGAATTTATTTAACTTGAAACTTAATTAATTTAGTTCTCGTTAGTTGCTTTACGACGATTACCTTCAATATACACGTAACATGAGTAGGCGCTTTATCAGCTTCATCAATTAGTAAAACATGACCTAATTTAACAGCTTGCACTAGTGGTGAATCTTCGTAAACAACGACTCCATCTCTAACGATTGGTTGTAATGTTAATGTTTGAACTGTTGTGTCTCGATGTAATTGAATGTATTCACGTGGACGATTAAGCAGAAAAAGTAATCTATCTACTATTTTGTTCTTTCCAACGCCTTGATTTCCCACGAGTAAAATATTTTGTCCAAGTATAAAATCTTGTAACAAACTTTCCAACAAAATAAGATGCTGACGAATATCATAAAACAATACATCCGGTACTTTTGTAAGCGCACCACTCTTATATCGATTCATGGTCGTTTTTCCAATAGTAACAGTGTCATCACTGATAATGCATTTTATTGAATCCATCGATTGATTTTTCTTTGGACGTATTCCAAGCTGCTTCATACAATCTTCAAGAGCTTGCTTTGGTACTGCAGGCAAAAAACGTGCAAGGCATGCTCTGTGAACTGCATTGTAAGCATCGTCATTGGGAAACTTGTGCATTCTACTGGCTATTCTTAACAATTGTCTCGTGCTCAGAGATCCTGCTAATGCTTGCAAAGTAGGATCATTAGACGATCGAAGTGTATGAGCAAGATCAATTATTTTTAATAGTGGTGGACTTGGTTCTCCATACTAAAAGAATATTAAATAGCTGATCAATTCTTTTATTAAAGTTCAAGATATTTTTCAATAAATTAATTTTTACCTTTGATTTGAGAATATGAATTTCTTCAGATTTATGAAGTGGCCTCATTTCATGAAAATGAAATAAACTTAACAACTCAGAAGTTAACCACTGATTAGAAGGGCTATTGATTACTGGCGGTTCTGCTAGTGCAATGATTTTGAATGCAGGATTTATTTTGAAGATACCAGCATCGTTTAATTGTTTATCTGTTTTATTGTCCTTAAGTTTGATTTCATCGAACCGCTCTGCACCCATTAATCGCTTTCCATCATGTACTTGAATTTCTCGATCATGAATAAGTCTATATAGAACAGCTAGAGTACTGGGATGCACTCGATGAATACCATCTAGAACAGCTAATTTTCCCGTTAATGCTGATATAATTAGTGGTGAATCCTTCCAGATTGTATCACCATTTGGCATTGTCGAGCGTTGTTGAATCAAATCTCTTGAAGTCATATCCTTAAAAAATGATCAATTGTAAATTATAGTAAATTTATATATGAATGAAAATTATAAATAAAAACTGAAAAAATAACAAACCTGATAAAGGACAATTGGTTCTATTTCATATCCCAAATTGTTTGCTAATATTTCAACAACTGTAGATTTTCCACATCCTTTGGGGCCAATTATGCAGTAGTCAGAAGACAGATGGGATAAAATCATATCAGTAAATAAGTTATTCTGATATTTTGTTTCTATAAATGAAGAATCATTTGGTCGTCTATTTTCAGGATTACCAGAGACCTGAAAAAGAAAATTATTCATCAAAAAAAAAAAAACTTAATTAAATTTATTGTATTATTTTTTTTTTTAAATTAGCTTTTATATTTACAGTCAATTTAACATTTTGATCACTTTTTTTCAATGATACTAGGCAGGAATCAGCTTCTCCTTCAATTCCTAATATTTTATCCTCACTATTGTGTAGCGATTTCTTTTTGTGTGAAACTTCAAAAGCATCGAGAATACTTTCAACTGCCTCTCTTCCTTCTTTACCCAGAAATAATTTGTATGGATAAAACCTATAAAATACGTCGAAAACTGGCAACTTGGGAATTTTATCCTACGATTATTTTGAAGTGAAAATAAACATTCGCTACTTTAATCCATACAATAAAATAAAAATAAATAGCTGATCTTTTATTTCCATACCAGAATCGGAGCAGCAGTTATCAAATTATCCAATGGAAAATCAGGCAGCCCAATATCTATAGCTTCTTTACTAATGAGTGCATGACAGCAAGACAGAAGTTGTGATAATTTCTCTTCATCCGCATTCGGTGCTAACTTCTTCAAAGTATCCATCTGTTCCTGACAAAAAAAAATTCCATTTGTACAAGTCATGAATAAGTGAAAATTATTTCAAGCATCGTCTACATAGGTATATTATTATAATTTCGAATTCAAGAGTTTCTGTTCTTATCTGTTCACCTTAAAACTTCGCGACATAGTTTTAAGGATGAATGTACGTGCATAGAATATTCTACTTCTGATCTGCTTCACTGCAACACTCGAAAGTGATTAACAGACAAACGTTTTACTACTGTAAAGTGAAGTACGTGACTAAGTACTGGACGGCACGAAACTCTAGAGATTGTACGCTTCGATTTCCATCAGCAACTTTAAAATTGGGCTACCACAATATAAACCACTCGATCAGTACGAATAATAGAATTTTAGGCTATCTAATTCCAATGAAAACTTATTTAATTATACTACAGTTGGTTTGCAAATGGTGATGATTCTTTTATTTGTTTATATTTTCAGAACTGGGTTAAAGACATTTCTTTCAACCGCAACTAATTTTTTAATTTTCTAAGTACAATTTCCACTCATCAAACTTTGATACTTAACTTATAAAATACAATCTAAAAAGCCAAGTCCTCCAAACTTTTATCCTAATGATAGACTAAAACATTTAAATTCTACAGTTCAAGAATAGTTGGTAAAATATGTTTTAAAATGCCTCTAAATGATGCTTAAATGTCGCCGCTCAGTTTCATTTGTTTTAGCTCACACGCGATATTAGAGAAACCGATTTTCGAATGGTACCGACATGCTAAGAAATCACCATTGCATCTAGAAGACCTAATAACAGAGACGGATGAATTTTTCTATTGAAACTATTCTCAGATAATTTACGCTTTTATATAAAAACTCATTTTAACTTCTCCAATCATTGATATCTCATCAGCTTTTTCTATCATGATTGTATTTTGGTTTAGAAAGTTCTTTGTCCCTTATCGCATGTGCTTTCGCATTTTGCAAAATACGTCACATAGTTACTTTTCTCATTATCTCTTGGAATTACAGCGCTACCTCGCATAGTAAATTCCATTTATTCACGCGACACTAGATCATTATAAAAAGTGAAATGTCGTCAAGGAATAAATAATAAAATCTCACCTTAATTTATCTTGAGAAATTCAATCGTTTTCGTCAACGGAAGTTATAAATATACTCGTTTATTATTTTAATATCCTTAATTTAATCGATAATTTATTAATCAATTAATGAGAAGAGTGATTTATTCAAAGATAAGATCAAGAATAGAAAAATATCAGCATGAAAAGCGTTTAATAAAAATTTCATTTTTTATTCTTTAGTGTTTAATCCAAAAAATCCACATTAGATAAAGAATCTTCGGAAGACGTATCTTCTTCCCCAGAATTTAAATCAGGCATAAAAATGTGTAACTGAGGTCGGCCAAAGGGTGACCATGATTTACTTGTTGATAAAATTCGCTCTGTTTTATCTGCATCATGAGCTTCAGATTTATCGTTAAGTTTTTCGTCTAAATTTATGTTTTCAACTTTGTTTTCTTTGACATCTGAAAAGACATTTTCACATTCACGTTTACTGATGTTTGAATTTAATTTTTGATTTTCTATCAATGAGATTTTTTTCGAAAACATATAGGAGCTTTGTTTATTTAACAAACACTCCTTCCTGGGAGATCTTCTTGGTGTCGATTGACGATGACTCATATTATTTATTTTTTCTACTCGGTCTTCATCTTTTATTAAATAATTTTTGACCATTCCTGAAATATCCATCCATTGGAGAACTCGATCAGAGAGTGGGTTGGAATTGATTTCAGTGAGGCTCAAACTGTCGTCATAGTCTTCAGCGAGAGTAGTTTTGATTATGCTGTCTGATTGATCGTAATATTTGTCAAAGAAACCACAATCAATAATGGAACTCTCTCGTGATATACAAGGTATTCTTCTCGAACATAGCGTATGATTATCGATACTTTTACTGTCTTCAATGCTGGTATTATTTTTTGATGTCTTGAGTAGATTCGTTAATGGTACATCCAACAGGTTTGATGATGGATTAGAAATCTGGCTGACTAGTGGAGCAGATCGCCTTCGAACGACTTTGGTAACAGTTTCGTTCTCCAATTCTTTTTTATCTCCAAGGATGTGGAATTGAATAAAGCCGCCAACTTTATCTGAAGTGCGAAAGGAATCTTGACTCGAGTATTTGGTTGGATAATTTTTAGATATCGATGACGATGTTTGAGGTCGTCGACGACTTTTCACATCCAGAAGTGGATCATCTGCGGTAAGTATTGCGTGCCTTATGCCATCCACCCAGATGGTTCTCACAGAAATAGGACGTTCCGAAGAAGACCAAATTGCTGGCATTTTCGAAATCTATTTATTTAACAAGTAACTCTTCTTTTCCTAAACATATCTCTGCTTGACGAGTGGAAGCACGTGATTATTAAGAGATGAATACATGTTTCAACCCAAAAAGTCTATGGTTTTATACATTTTTTAATTGATAAAATTGTTGCAATGAAATTTTTTTTAAGGATTAACAGTATTCTTCAAAATAAATTTTTCCATGATTTAATAATAAAACATTTTGTTCAACAGAATTCGATGTATCGACTCACGTCGCGTAGCAGGACAGCTAAGGTATCTGCCATTTGAAACACGCGATCTAAACTGTGCGATGTCTGTGACCATCGCGCAGCCACGGAATCGGTTTATATACGATGTTCTGGAAATCGCGGAGGGGATAAAGTTTTAAGTATACAACTATTTGTGTATCTCATTGCATACCAACTATAATCATGTGTCATGGAATTAACATAAATTCAACAAACTGTTATTTAATAGACACATGTAGCTTCATCTTAAAATCTTTGTAAGATAAAATTAAAATTATCGAAATAATTTGAAAAATATAATCAAATAAAAGATTATTAAAACCCGGTATATAAATATCTATGTCGATTAAATTATTTCAATAGAAAACAAAACACCTTTTTTTAAATAATTTAAAAAATTTGTTCGCGTGCAGTGTTGACAAAAGACGAAATTGTCTTATTGTTTCAAATTAATTACAGTAATAAATTAGTAAAAATCTGCAATGATTGTCGCAGTATTCAAATTAGTCCTAATCTATACAATCTTGCAATAGTAAAAATTTAATTCCCAAGTTTTAATTTGAAGAATACATAAAGAGTTTGAGTTGAATATATTTGTTTAACCTTACGTTAGGCTATAACTATTAAAAAAAGCTATAAAGTTAAACTAACTTGAAAACTTGGAGGAGTAATATGTCTTGCTTGGAACCTGGATCTTAAAGGTGGATCCAAAGGTTGGCCTAGATAACGAGGTGATGGTAAGCCGAGAGCTATAACTCGAAAATCCTCATTTACTCGAACGAGCTTCCATGAATCAAGCTCTTCTTGGGTGTGAGTCTGAAATACATAATGAGAGATTATTGCTTTTGAATATATCATTACAGCCTTCAAACATTTAATCATCAATTAATCTACTCAAATTAATTGTAGATTCCAAATATTTATATTAATTATCCAAATAATTTAATTGATGAAAAATATCTAATCTCTAATTCTATAATGAGCTGTTCATTTAATTATCAAATAAATTTACCTCTAACAGCTTGTCATATCTAACAGCAGACATAAGGAATCTTCCATCTTCTAAATGCATTTCCCGATTTTCTAACAAATTATTCAATATTGGTAAAACATTCCTCTCTGCTTTCTCAATGCCTTCCAGGATTAAAACTCGTCCATGTTTCGCAGCTCGAACTGCACTTTGGTCATGATAAATTGCACTACCATTTACTATTTCCCTCCTTTGTTTCAAGTCAGTTTCCGTTGTGTCCCGTGACAATGCAATAAATTCTACTTCTCGTTCTGTGAGCTCCAAGAAAGCCATAGCTAAATTTCTTCTTCGAGAACCAGGTCCACCAATTAAAAACATATCTTGACCTAGGACATCTTTCTGTAGCATCCACCGCAGGTGCCTTAATAGTTCTTGACTTTGTTCGATAGGAACTAAATAATAGAAAAATCAATTTTATTATTATTATTAAAAGACCATTATTAAAGTCTATTATAATAATAAAAATTATTTTTAAAAAACTTACAATATTTTCTTGGAATGTACTCTCGATGTTCAGCTGGTCTAATTTTCTTTGATACATCATTGATCCTCACCGTTAAATCATCTGTAAATTATTTAGGAAAAAAAATGTATGAATATTTATTAGTTATTTTTGAAGAAAATGATTGAGAACTACTCACCTGATTTAAAACGTACTGGTGTCAAATGATACAAATCATTTATTTTAGAATTTCTTATAATTTTACTTACTGTTGAAATATTTGAAATTCCAGCCAATTTCAGAATCATATTTTCAAAATATATTTTTCTTCTATTTAAAATTGCACTTATTGTAATAATAAAGGGTTATGTTTTCAAACAAAAATGTCATAACCTAATATTTGTAAAAAAAACTATAAAATTTTTCTGTCGATGAATGTCAGTCATAATTGACGATATTTTTACGAAATTTACATCACTACATTTTAGTCCTAAGCAGATCAAAGTTCGAAAAATGATTATTCTAAAATATTTATCTAAATACAGAAATAATTATCTTCTATCTCGAGTGATAGTTTGTTTTGGTATGAATAATACCGATAAACTTGCTTGGTAGAACGCTGTTTTGCTAGCAAGTGCTGGAGTACCATGTTCGAAACATAGCGATCCCTTCCCTCGGCTTTACTCTCTAGCATGCAAACTGTAAATACCTGACATTAAGGGGGTTGAGAGTCGACTGTCTTTTTTTAAGAATCAACGGCAAAGTATTAGCAGCTAAGTTTTAAGTAGACATTCTGCTTCATTTTTGGTGCTGAAAAATAGTGAAGTTATATTTATTGTTAAAACAAAATATATTATAAAGGGAATTAAATTTAATAACAATATTAAATATTTAGAAATCTTAGCTTGAAATGCTTACCTTTTACGGGAAAAAACTGCATATATTTTTATTACTTTGAAAATACTCCAACAATGAGTGATAAAAAAACATTAAATTTTTATTGTTAGCTTTTATCCACAATTACTCCCACAAATAATTATAAAATCATTTTTTTTATTAAGAAAGCTTATTTACGGTTTGTTTGACGTATTTTATTGATTAATTATCACTAATACACGTCTATAAAACTCTAAAAAATGCGAAAACTCTCCCAGCCACCCTACCGGGTGAAGCGTCCCGCGTAAACTGACGAACATCTCTGACAAATCATGGCGTCCCCTATATCTTTTGTTCTAACATGTGTATCGACAGTGTTTTTTAGACTCTCAAAAAACCACATATGATATAAAAAAAACATCAAAATAAGGTCCTATTTTTACCTTGTCTTTTAAACTAGTAGTTAATGGACTTTATGGACAGACTTAGCCTGCCAAATTATTAAAATCCGCAAAAGCATCTTTTCGCGAAACATCTCGATGTGTGGACCCCGCGTAACGGTCGCGACGCGCGCATATTTGGCGGAAGTGAGCCGCCCACTATAATCTCGAACCCACGCACAAATTAATTATAATTAAAAAATAAATAAGATAAGAAATTTAATATAAATTATCTTTAACTTATGTTAATTTAATTAATATAAAAATATAGTAATTTTATCAATATAAATTTTTGTATATTCTGCCATAAATAATGATATTTAATTAATTAATGAAGTGGCGCGTATATTGCGCCATTTTTGGCATCACTTTTTAACCCTTGCGCATGACCGCGGTTGCCTCCGCTTCATTCGGCGGCGAGACGCGCTGGTGGGCGGACGTGTCTGAATGTTGTATGTCAGAGATTTATGATATGGAAAAATTAATTAAGTGAATTACTAAGTCTATGTCAAATGAAATGAATTTAGAAATAGTATTATTTTATGTAAAGACAATGGAATAAATATGATGCAAAAACTTCAACGAGAACGCCAAGATATTAACAAGAGACGCTGATGCTGCGACGAGTTGCCCGAAACCCCATGTCCATGTTTCCCGAAAAGAGATTCCGTTAAGAATTTTTATGCTGTTAAAGGCTGATATGTAAGTATGTTTTAATTTTCACTTTCTTCGGTATGTTATAAATATTCTATATGCAATTATTTTGATGGAAATGCAAGTGACGCCATAAGTCAACGCGCCAGACGCTCATTAGTTTATACAAGACGCATTACTTTTTAAAATAATTTTAGAATTCTAAATATATGTTTTGTTACTCATTAATTAATTACATGACGTAAATAACTACCAAATTAGAAGCCTTTAATTACGGAAAATATATTTTTTGCTATTTATGAGAGTAATTAAGTCAAAATTAGTAAAAAAAAATTAATTATTAAATTTAAATAAATTTTTTTTAAATGTTTAATTTCCAGCTATATTTAAATATTTGATTTTTTTAACAGACAATGATTCAATATTTTTTAGCATCAAAAATAACGCAGTAGACGCGCGAAATTCCAAGAAGAAGAACGTTCAACAAGTAGCCGTTAGTTCCTGGAAAAGAAAAACCAACGCTCAACCCCCTTAATACCAGTCTTCAACGCCTGTAGTCGATAAGTAAGAGATTTATATTTTCATTGGTAATGCAGTCATTGTTCAGCGGCCGGTAAGTCAACATTATGCATTTTAGTTCGTAGATTTAACACTAGAGAATATTTCTGAGTCTATTTTTATCGAACGCTCACAAATTATTTTTTAATCCTAAACGAGATAAAAAGTTAAAAATTACATTAATTTATATTGAGATAAATTTTTTCTAAAGTGCCAATAAGTTCCGCGGAATCGTATTACTCCATAAGTATTCTTTTATTTGAATTGACACTAAAAAGATGACTTGTATCGTGCACACTTCAACACGTGGTTACACTGGACATTGTAACCTCTAAACTCGTAATGTTTTTTTTTTGTCACAAATACTCGCGTTAATAAATAAAAATGACAAAGTCTCGCGAAATTAGTTCACAAAGGTGGAAGCCCGTAAAGCTAGAAGGTTCTATTTTATCTTCTGGTATCGAAAACTTAATAGGTATCGAAGAATTGACGGATTATAAATTAGAAGAAAAATCTCTCATTTCGACAAAAAATTCTAGTAAACGAAAGGTACGTTCAATAATTTTTATTCTGACGAAGTAAAATAATATTTTAACTATAAACACTTGTTCAACATTTTTTAGAATTTATTGTCTGTTAATGATGATAACGAAGAGCTATTCACCAAGAAACAAAAACTATCAAAGCCCCGTGAACTTCAGAAGAAAAAAATTAACAAAAATAAAAATAATAAAATGAATTCTAACGATAATCAACAGGAAGTTGTAAATAGTATCAAAAAGAAACAAAATTTTGTTACGATGAATTCTGAAGATCATCAACAAGAAGAAAAAAATGAATCAAGTGGCTCTGATCATTTAAATTCATCAGAAAATTTTGATAGAGAAGCTTGGAGTTCCTTAGGAGTTCCTGATCCTATTTTACGAGCTCTTGAAGATCAAAACTTCTCAACTCCAACACCAATACAGTCTCTTACATTGGCTCCAGCAATATTAGGTAGAAGAGATATCTTAGGAGCTGCTGAAACTGGTAGTGGTAAAACTCTAGCATTTGGAATTCCAATTTTAACAAGGATAATGGAACATAAAAAAAAATCCGCCGAAAAACATCAAAATTTGAAAAATATTTCTAATCGAGGTGCTACTAATAAAGGATGGATAGTTTCTGAGAAACAAAATGATTCTGATGAAGAAAGTGAAGAACTTGATGATATTGAAGAAACACCTCACAAAAACTTTGGTTGTGTAAAAGTAATTGATAATCTGGATTTAGAAGAAGATAATAATGAAACAAAAGCAATAAAAAAACCATTATATGCATTAATTTTAACACCAACAAGAGAGCTTGCTATTCAGATAAAAAATCATTTAACTAAAGCAGCGAAGTATACAGATATCAAGATAGCTGTAGTAGTTGGCGGAATGGCTGCGGTTAAACAAGAAAGAATTTTGAGCAAAGGTCCTGAGATTGTCATTGCTACGCCTGGGCGACTATGGGAATTAATTGAACAGGGAAATGCCCATCTAAATCAACTAGACTCCCTTAAATATTTAACTATTGATGAAACTGACAGAATGTTGGAAAAAGGACATTTTCAAGAACTTCATCAGCTGATGGAAAAAATGAATTTTAATGAAAATGCTGTTAAACACCGCCAAGTGTTTGTCTTTTCTGCTACACTTACTCTAGTTCATGATATCCCAGATTTTTTGATGCGCAAGAAACAAAAATCTCGCAAAAGCAATATATACAAGCTAACACCTGGTCAAAAATTACAAAAGGTTATAGATATGCTGAAAATAAAAAATCCAAAAATAGTTGACGTGACTCAATCAAAAGGTAATTTCATTTTATTTTAAAATTGATTATAAACAATGAATTCTGAACAATTTATTCAAATTAATTCTTTATTACAGGTACGGCAGAAACTCTGACAGAATGTCGTATTGCCTGTACGATAGATCACAAAGACTATTACCTCTATTATTTTCTACGAAGACATCCTGGGAGAACACTAGTATTCTGCAACAGTATTGGATGTGTTCGACGACTAGCAACACTTTTCGGAATACTTCAATGCAATCCTTTACCTTTACATGCAAATATGATTCAAAGGCAACGCTTAAAGAATCTTGAGAGGTTTCAAGAAGATCCAAATGGACTTTTGATTGCAACTGATGTTGCTGCTAGAGGTCTTGATATTCCCAACATCGAACATGTTATCCATTATCAAGTTCCTCGAACATCTGAAAGTTATATTCATAGAAGTGGGAGAACAGCACGTGCTTGGAAGGAAGGTATTACAGTTTTGATGATGGAACCTTCAGAGTTGCAATTTTATACCAAACTTTGTCAAACTTTGGGTCGAAGTAAGTTTTCAACAAATTTATTTTTATGTTTATTATTTTTTTATGAATACAATAATTTCTAGTATTTTAAAAATTATTCATTATAAAAAAACAATGAAGAGTAAAAAGTAATTACTACAGCTAATTAGATGTTGGATGAATGATTCATTATCATTATTCTCTAATTGACGAGAGTAAAAACAAATTTTTTTGCAGCTCAAGATATGCCAGCCTTTCCGGTCGTAGACAGACTACTTATTGCTGTAAAGGAATGTGTCAACACAGCTAGAGAAATTGATAAATTAGAGCTCATGTGTCGACGTAACAATACACAGAAAGGATGGTTGAAAAAAGCTGCTGAGGATATGGATCTTCTTCTTGATGAAGATCAAATGTAAGTATTTTTTTATAAAATTGATCTATAATTTTTTTCGGACTACTTTAATACTTCAGTTACTTGATAAATTTATTGATTTGTCTTATATGAATTTTTATAGTGAAACCACAATGGAAGAGCAAGAGACAGCTACTATAAAGCGTCAATTGAAAATAAAAAAACACCAACTTTCCGCGTTATTATCAAAACCTCTATTTCCTAAAGGATACTCGGGTAAATATTTAAATGATACTATTGAGTTTGAATTATTACCCGATAAAGAAAGTGCAGTGGAAAAAGTGAAAAAAGTGATAATTGATAGTCCGAAATTATCGAAGGCAAAGACTTATGGCACTTTTAAAAAAATAAAGCGTTCGATAAAATAAGACATGTATGGTACAAATAATTTATTTACCTTAGTAAATAAATTTTGAAACAATTATTTTTTAAGAAAGATGTAAAATTATTTTCTCTTGATTCAAAAAGAGAATTTTTTTTATTATTCTTGGAATATATTTTAAAATTGAGCTATTGATTTATACTGTTATGTCTCGTCGACAAATCTTTCCAGTTATTTACAGTGAAGTATTATAACTAACCATCTACAGTAATATGAATTTATATACTATAATACAAATTTATATCTTGAGTTAAAGATAACTATATCATCAACTTTTAATTGAAATAATTATTGCAATCATCTTTAACTATATTCGAATCAATTTTACTTTCTCTGGGTTAGTAAATAAGTCTTCATTCTTTTTTCTATTTAATATTTTACATCTTAACATAATGACAATTTATTTATATCGAGAAACAAACAAACATAATGCTATTAAAAATGCAAGACTTTTTTAAAAACCCAATCAACTCATTAGTAAAAATAATGAAACATCAAAATATCGTATTATAAATGACTTCGTCTTCAGTATTTATAATAGAATTCATTTGTTGCGATGTAACCAATGAGTTAACATATCTCTCCTCTTCATCTTCATTAGTCTCTAGGTACGACTCGTCACTTTTTACAATAATTTTTATCCTAGCAATTACATGACTACCAGGGCAATCCTTAGTACTTTTATTTGAAGTTTCACAAATTTCCGTGTAAATATCGTCATTTTTATAAGTGTACACTTTAGGTTGGGATGCTACTGGCGTTAAACTATCCTTTACACTTGCATAGTTGGGTTGAAGTTCGACCTTGACCGGAGTTTCAAGGACACTTGTTGATATTGATCTCTGAACTGGTTGTTTAGAAGCATTTGAATGACTTTGCGACGTGATATCCGGTTCTAGACTTGAATACCGCTCTTTAGCCTTGACCACCACTTCCGGTTTCATTGCAAATGTAAACGATGCAGACTTCTTAGCTGGATTTCTGTCACGTCCTCCACCAACGTGAGTGAGTTTTGTTATTCTTTCTAAGAAACTATTTGACGAATTTTGACGAGTTTGACTTCGTTCACGCACTGTTGACTTCTTCAAGTGCTCTAGGCCTTCTCGAAGACTCTGAAGAACTGGTTTAGTTTCTGGTTTAGGTTTGATTTTCTTCAAGTACATCTCTCTCGATTCTTCTCCAAGATTTCTGTCGATATTATTGCTTGTGTGGAGCTTCTGCGGTGCCACTCGAGGCTCTGTTGCACGATCGCCGACTGCACGACTGAAAGAAGCAAACAAATAAATCAATCTAGTTTGTATAGATAGTCATCACTAATAACTAATAATTTAGATAAAATCGCGTTCATTGAACCTATGCTACAGCAGGAAATTAGCCGGTGTTTTAAACTGTCAACGATGTGTAGTGAAGAATATTTATGACATTATTTTCCATACCTGCAAGCCGTTAATAACCGCTGCATCTTTGGCGACGTAAGTAGTCTAGCTTCTGAAGGATAACCTAATCGAGCTCTTCTTACTCGTGGAGCGCCGTTACCAGATACTACCAACTCCAGCATCTCTGGATTATGTACAGGTCTTTCGGGTACTACACATCCTAAGACTATTGAGCCTCTTGTTGATGATTCTAATTGCATTAATCCTCCGTATTCTCGAGGTAATGGCACTGGTAGAGGTCCTGCTACCAGTCGAACCTTTCAAATAATTTTTTCATGTTAATTATTTCATTTTATTTTTTTTAAATATTTATGCCCAAAATTTTTAATTTGATTGATGGCCAAGGTAATTTTTCATCAATTGAACATTATTATGAAGCATTTAATAAGATTAATATTTTTATTATTTTATTATTTGATGATTAGATACTTACTCGTAGTGGAAGTGCTCGCTTAGCTAAATGATGTACCCTATAAAGAACAGTATCGCCCTCGGTATCAGGATTATTGCTTTGACAAATAGCATAAAATTCTCCTCTCGTTGAAAGTGCCACGAACATCTCACGACCATGACCATCTAAGCATTGAGCATATTGGTCCTTTTCCGTTGCACCAGATATACCAAAGGATATTGAACTGTACTTCCGCGTGTCTTGAAACACTGCTATTAACCGGAGAACCTCACCAGCTCGGATGATAGTCTTCGTGTAGTGAGCACGAAGGTTTCCATCTTCTAAAAATGTATTTTTATTTTGCTTTAATGAATTCAGCTGAGTATTTATTTATTCTGTACAGATGTAATCGATTTAATAGTTTAGCGTAGTGCAAAACCGGTTTCTCTAAATATAGAATTAAAAAATATTAAAATATGAAGGCTATATTAACTAACCCATCTTTGAATGTGTTAGGGTGTAGGCTCGTAAAGGTGATACCAAGAGAAAAGCTGGTACTCCAGCTCGTACTAAACTCTCTATCCTTCGATAAACTCGAGCACTGCCCATTGTATTGTTTCCGGATACTACTGAGAACCATCCTGTAACATGAATAATTTTTTTTATATTATATAATCATGTCTCTGCATTAAATTTGTATATTATTTCGATAAAAGATTGTATTCAAATTTAAAAAGCTAAGCTGCATAAGACTTGGTCTATATGCATAACAACATGTTACGTAGATTTATAAAGATTATGCTAATGAGCCATGATGATCGTGTCTATAAGGTTGTCGAGTAACGTACATACGTGTAATATCTTTATCTGTAAGATATTGATAGGAAAAATGAACGTAAGTGGATAAAGATTATAAATAAACAAAATAACTATAAGTATCGTAAGGATAGTCTATATTAAGATGTTGAATTATGTTTTATTGATTATCGAATTATATCAGTAGAGGAAAAATTTTTTGTAAATTATTATTAGATAAAAACGAGTTGATTATCTAAGGAACGGGGAATTTGGTTCTAACAAATTATAAACAATTTTTGAATGATAAAATTCTGAATATTATTTTGTAATGTACTTCTATGATAGGTATATTAACATAAGAAAATTTAAAAATTACATCTTGAATTGAATATAAAATATTAAACATGGAAAAATGATTACATAAATCCTCATAACTTGATACTTAATACTTTTTTCAAAAATATTTGTAATTACTAATATGATAATACCAGCATATCGTAAAGCAGTATGAAAAACCGTGAATCAATTATTTACATTATATAAAACTTGAATTCTATCTAATGATTCTGGAATAGAAAACTTGGTAAAGCTGTTTATGAGTAATAATTAACATAAATTTTAACTTGAAATATAAATATGAATCAGACCGATTAAGCTTAATATGGAAAAAGGTCAATGGATGCGTTTTAATAGAGTTCAACAGCAAATTACGATATTAAAATTAATTACGAAAATATCATTAAGCTAAATTAAATGTTTTTAATCAGTAGATAAAATAGAATAATTGTAATTGGAGTGTTTTTTTTTATTTATTAATTTCTTTTTTATTGAAAGATTTAAAGATATACAATAAAATAGTAGAGTAAGATATGTAGTGGCAAGTTCAATAATAAAAGTAATATTTAATTTAATTTAAAATAATTATTTCGAGAATATTTAAATTTTATACATCAATTTCATGATGTATAAAATAGTTAATGCACGTAAAACAATAATTTAATTTTTTTTATAAAGTGAACGGAGAAATATTTTTTTTTTAATTATCAGTAATTTTGGATAAAGTGGGCGGAATAATATTTTTGAGCCTGTCCCCTTTATTCTATTGCATGTAACATTTAGTTTTAATTTAGAAAGATATTGGAGAGATAAAGTTGATGGAATTACATATTATGGCCTGTTAACTTTACTCTCTTTCATAATTAACGAACGCATGTCAAATTAGAAATAAGAATTAGTTTTAAGTAATCAAAAAATATTTTCGAAATCATTTTAATACTCTCTATTTTTAAAAAGTCAAAATGAATATAATGACACTAACTTGTCTATATATCTTATTTTTCTAAATCTATTATATTTTTTATATTAAATACAAGTTTAAAGATATTGTTTTCAAATAATAGAAAAAAACACACTCCAATATTACTATTGTTATTCTTTCACACAATCTCAAATGACAATTATATGTTGAATAAACTAATTAATCAAGATTATAATCAATCCGTGTGATATTACAGTCAAAAGAAGCTTAAGACTATCAAGATAAATATATGTTGTAAAGTCGGGGTCTTATTCTGTGTTGATGACTGCGTTACAGGAGCACTTGCGTCGACAGCGTGTAGTCCGGAAAGAAATGTGAAGGTGCGAGTATATACATATATTGCACAAGAGAGTCTTCCTTCACTTTCCATTTTCATCGTGTATACATCCGACACAGTTAACGTTACTCGCTCTTGTGCTGAGTGTAATTATACTGTAAATCTTTTCGTTCACAGGAAGTAAATATTAAAATCATTGAGAATAGTAGCAGTAATCACTGCTTTAGCAAGTGCGGGCTATTTTTCAATGCCTCTAAATTATTTACTTCTCGTTTTGTAAATCCTTCCGGGCTTATTAATTAACTCATGCAATTATATGAAGTGCGTATATATTATTGATTTAATTGCATTGCCTCAAGCACTAATGCCAACTTGTTATTTCATTTCTGATAATAGCATTGCCGCTATCAAGTTTTCAACCAGACGAAAGACTCTAGATAGTATCTAGACACTTAAGGATACGCGTCAATGATTTCATGTTTTACATTTCAATCTGTAAATGAGAGTGAGAATGAAAATTGAAATATGTTGATATTTTAAACATTTATCTAGTTTTCAAATAGAATAGCTCGGTAAAGTTCATTGTCAGTCGACATAAATATACTAGTACTAGACTGCTGCTGCGTTTAAACCAGCTGTTCCTAGATATAGGGGTACTCCAGGTGTGCGAGCGTCTGTCTAAATTTAATCTCATCTTTCTCACCCTCGCCTTTGTTGATCCTATCGTCAAATAGTTCTCTTTCAATAGACCACAAATTTAATTTCTTTTAGGCTCACAGTCGATATGCGATCCATCAGAATGTCTGTGTCATCCTCCGCCCATACTGGACATTGACCTTTTTCATCTTAGAAAAATCTTTTATGGATGTTATTGCGTTTGATCAGCGTGTTATGACCAAGATTATTCATTATATTATTAGATATATATAGAAATCGTAAGAAAAAAAACTAAATCCGATGAACACATTTTTCTAAAGGATAAATAACTAGAATATATTTTTTTTATTCATATAAATCATTCTCTGATAATAAAATATTTATAAAAATGCTAATGGCTTTAGAATATAATATTTATCCGATGAGATTGACTCTGAGAAATTCTTTTTTTTATTATTGGAGTAGAAAAAATTAATAGCCTGTGGGATGTAGTCAATTGATTTTTATTTGCTGCAAATTTCAATCAGCAACACTGAATTACCTTAATATTAAATAGAAATAGAAATTATAAAAATAATCATAAGTAATATTCATGTTCAATGCTAGAAGACTTTCTATCAATAACTCCTCCTGTTGATTAAACTCGAAATAATTTTAATACATTTTCTCAATATCTGAGTAATTTATATTGACCTCTTTATAATAATTCTTATTCACTAGAAAACTTATTATAATATTTGTTCGACTGAATGACATATGTTTAGTAATATTTTCGTCATTGATGTTACGCTTTATTGACTAGAATCCTAATGATTAGTTGTTCAAGTTGATAGCGCTACTCAAGCTTGACAAGAAAAAACAAGTGAAAGCAAAAATAGCTCGTGGATACGATTTAATGCTTCTTTGAATTCAAAAATCTGTTTACGCTACTCTGACGATTCTATGGTGTGGAAAAAACATGTAAATTTCATTTAGAATTTAAAGTAATTTTTTGTTATTTCAATTTTCTACAGTCTATGAATTTGACAGCTTATAAATGAATTTAGAAAAAAAAATGAAGAAATAAGGAAAGGTCATAAGCAGATAAATCTCATCTGGCTGTCTTAGTCACCCACAGAGGTTCGCAATTGCAGCACAAGGTCATCGAGTATCCCCGACATAATGACCGTTATTTAAAGTGATGGAGAGACCACGTTGTTGAGGTAGTATAGGGGTAGTCCGCAGACGGTGATGTATTTTTTGGTTGTAGTAAACCGCGAACGTCTAGGTCGTCTGTTAGGCCACACTCAACAGCACACCTCACACACAATATAATTACCATTATTTTCACTTTGCTACGCAATCATAAATGATGAAAAATTATTTGAAAATGCAATTTAAACGTTCAAGTCTTGATGACAGTCATTTTCACTATAGTTTACGTAATTTTATAAAATTACGATCGTAATTCGCATGAAGAGAATTGATTTTTGCAACTTCTTATCATATTATCCGATAATCTGATTGAAATTTACAATTTTCTACGGATTTTAACACTATAGGGAAATCTATACTTTGTAAAAATATAAAAAAAAATGTAAAAATTATTAACTGTGGATAAAAAGAGAGCTATAATTATTTTTTAACAATAAAAGATTAGCTGTAAAAAAAATCTGTCAAGTATTTCAAGAAAATTCTAATCAAGATGAAGAATTTTATTATATAAATTATTTATTGTTTGTTTTAAAAGAATAAGAGTCATCGTTAAGACGATATTTCACAAAATTATTTATTGCGAATTTTACAGCTGTTATTTGAATATTAAATATGATTACTGATGCGAATAGACTGTCTTTATTATTGAAAAATATCAATTGTACGTAGGCTAAACAACAATTTATGCTTCCATAAACATTTGAACATAACTAGGATGATTAATTAGCAATGAATAAAATTTACAACTTGAAAATTTACACCTAATAGCTTTATTTAATATACAGTAAATGCGTTGAAGAGGATTCAATATGTGATAAAAAATGAATTATTTACTGTTCAATAAATTAGGCGCTGAAATCAAGGTAGTATACGACATTTATGTGATAGCAGTAAAACGTTACCTAATGATTTGTATTACTTTATCTTGTGTTTTATACGCTTGTTACCGATCCTGCAATATATTTCAACAAATACAATATTGTACTACCACCGGAGAACATTAAATGTGTAAAATTTTTCACATTTTATCTCTTGGAAAGATAAAAAGAGTAATGGCTAAGGGATAGTAGATAATAAGGTCTAATGTACCATATAATAATAGAACAAAACCTAAATACTCTGGCGTGTTACTGTTGCATGTATTGCTAACAAAATTACCTATGTTTAGTTGTAAATATTACTGTAAATAAGTGACTTAAGCATTATGCCTTCTATACCCCTACTTAAAGCTTGGATATATCTTCATTTGCTGGAGAATCCAATTCTGTATGTTTTCCTCACACCCTTTACTCATCTTTCCGCTGATCACAGATTCATGCGAACAAGCAATCTGCTTGCGAATGTTAAAGTTAAAAAAAAAAATCACCATGTACATCTTACTTCATGTTTTTGTTAGCTATAATCTTACCATAAGTAAGAAATATCTTGTAGAAAGAAGTATTAAGTATCTTTGCTGAGTTTTGCTTTTTTTTCTATTCCTTTGCTTCAAGGTCTCATTCCAAAAAATTCCCTGACAACTCAAGATAATCAACATAAAACTCATTCCTACATAGACGTTAGAATTCTCACAGTTTTATTAGCTGATAAAAAAAATGTAGGTTTTTTTATTTGTGAAAAAAAAATTTGAAAGTTCTATGAAAGTTAATGACTGTTTTTAGATAAAAAGCTACTATCATCTATGGTAACAATAGGAATATTATGGTGATTAAGAATTGGCACACGTGTATGTCCAGGAAACGTGACCAATTCCATTGACGTTTGCATTTAAAGAGAACAGAATTACATACACTGGTGTGTCTGCAGTGAATTCCACAAGTCTGATGCAAGAATACTCATAGGGTAGAATGACAATGGTAATGTGCTGCGAATCCGGGACAGTCGCCTCATAATTCTACCATTATAGAGTTTAAATGTAGACTAACAGGACAATTTAATTTAAATAACAATCCTTCACTGTCGGTAAATGAATAATAGCATGGATTACAATTTATGGCGTTCTCTAAAATTAGCCAATTGTCTACTTTGACGGCTCATAACGATTTTATCTTAATTGATTTTGATTTAAAAGCTTCAATTCTAAATTGAATGTAGAAAAAAAATTGGAAATTATTTGAAAGCTACAGGAAGTCGAGTTTCTTTGTAGAATTTAGGTATTGGAGATAATAAATTCAATTATTTTTTGCTAGCGATATATTTTTGTCAAGAAAAGAATTAATTTATTATTTAAAGAAAACTAAAATAATATATATCCTAATTTGCTTATAAAAAATTCAAAGAAAAAATAACAATAGTGTTTTTAAAATATTTATAATTTATTTATATTAATTTTATATGAAAACCACTCCGTACTCTTGTATGTTATGAATAATTATCTGATGCGTCTGATAACCAATTATCATAATCAATTTAATTCGATAAAAAATATCAAAAGATAAACAAGAAAAAATTAATAGTCAATTAATAATGTAAAAAATGTAGTAAAAATCCATAGTTAATATAAGATGGTCTAAAAGTAATAAGTATTCGTAAAAAAATGATTGAATGACACTGAACATGAAGATGTCAATAATTAATTGCAAAGTCAAAGAAAATGTATTGTTGACTAGTGAGCAGTGAAGCATTAATCTGTCGACGCGAAATCCTTGATGGAATTCACCGTTACATCCTCAACATGAGGTTTTCTGTCTTAGATGCCCACAGAGGATGAAGGAGTGTAGGCAAAAGAATGCTGTGTGCGAATCGACGGGAAGACGATGTAATCTCTCATCGATCTCCATTCCCGGAGCGATAGAAAGACTCTTTCACGCGTAGTCGTCATCGTAGTATAAAAGGAAGAGTTTGCAGGTGTAGGGTAAAGGGAAAACACAAGAACAAATTTCCGTGGGTCGACACAAGGTCATACCACTCAGTTTCTTACCATTGTAAATGCATTTATTAACAAATCTTTGTATGTAAACGTCAAGTTTGCGTGTCGTTGAATGTTTCACATTAAAGAAGAAGTGTCGAGAATAGGAGAGAGTTGAGTAATACGTTAGGATAGTCTTGATCACTCACATCGTGCCACATTATGCTGTACGCCAGCTCATCGACATCTCGTGGACCTCTTTCAGTAGAACGAACGTGAGATGAACGATACAACGAGTCTAATGGCTTTTATCCACTTGCGCTATATCTCGTCAGGGTCACGTGCTGCAGATTGCTCGCAAACCATACGTGAATGAGCAACAAGTAGAAAACGAAATTAAAAGTGTTTAAAACTTGCTGAATATTTTTCCTGTCAATATCTAAAAGCTACTATCACGTCTAATGGATCAAGACTATCAATTCGCTTCTTTACTTTGCCTTCTTTTTTTTCACCTCATGTTTTTCATTATCTACTAATTTGATACATTAAATTCAAATGAGAATGCTGACAAATGTGGCGAAACGCGTAGGTTTCTATGATGTGACTAGAAGTTACTTATAAGTTTACATGCTAATTCGTTTCACCCACTTATGACATCGACCTACTCAACACCATTAACTCTCATTTTACTTTTATTTCTAACAGCTGATAGTGATGGCTGTCGTTTTTTATATTAATTGAATTTGTTGGAAATACGTGGTTAAAAATTAATGCCATCTGTTTCGTGTCTAAGGCGATAGATTATTTATGATTCTAATAAATTAACTCATCTTTTTAATCTTATTAATGAGAATTTATACTTTCGGGGAAACATAAATCTAATTCTCTTCTGTTTATTATTTTAATTCTCAACAAAAATAGATGAATGTTGAAATAATTTTTTTTTTAAGCTTTCTACTTCCTTGATTACCTTCAATATTAAACATTTTCATCAAAAAAAAAAGAAAATTGAACAGTAGTATTATCAAAATATTTTTTTTTTGAGTAAATCTTTAATTTTTGTGGTAAAAAAATCTCTTCTCTTCACAACTACGATTTCTACAAGTATTATTGAGTTAAAAATCGCCAGAATACGGTAAATATTTGGTAAGGTCATATAGAACCTAACGGAATTGATAATTTTCTTCGTTCAGCCTTGGAAAGATAGCTGAATTGCTTCAACTTCTCAACTTGTTTTACTTTTTTATTTTGACACAATAGGTATTTAAACTTAAAGACGGGAAATAGATTATTGTAAACATAATAAGGCTAACAAAGACTATAACATAACAATTCAAGCCAATTAACATATGCATTTAAATCTCATAAATGACACATGGTAACATTTCAAAACTTGTTTGTATAATTAAAAAATTGCTTCCTATAATTGTTCAGTTGTAAGAATTCATTGAGCCATTAAAAGTTCTTTGTTTTTGTATCTAGTAGTATACTTATAGCAGAAGCGAAGCGAAGCCGAGTAGAAAAGAGTGTAAGTACGAGTGCAGTTTTAATCCAGGGGATAATTTGCGGGAAACGGGTTTTCCCATGGCATCATCAAGAGGGAAAAAATAAATAGATGTAGTTTAAAAGAAAGGGATCAGTTAGTAGAGTTACATTCTGATAACGGTATCAGTCACTTACCCGGATATCCCTCTGGAATAACTATTTCCGGTCCAACTTTGACATCATGTCGATATCGATGTATGAAGAGGGTTGCTGTGACCCTTAATGATCGCTGTTGTTGTTTGTAGAGTAAAACGGGTCGACTGTTAGTACCTTCAAGTCTTACAACTCTTGGTAATGAGAAACGATCAAGGAAATCACGTAATGGCATAAATCCACCGGTAGAATTAGAATTCCCTTCCGCAGTAGCTTCCCTTGAACTGGGAAGGGACTTTGGTAGAGAAGGAACTTCTCCACTGGACATGGTCGAAAATTCACCATTCGATGACATTTTGACTTTTCTTGTCCACTGTTATAATGTCATATTTACTAGTCCTCTATCTTATTAGTTGTAATCACAGCCTACTATCATTTATTTCAATGACATTAGGAAATTACGATGTAGTCATAACACTTATTTTTGATATTCCAACTCTGCAGGAATCCTCAAAGACCCGTTATGGTGACCGACGAAAGTGCAGTTGCACTAACTACCGGTTAATAACAGGTCCAAAGAGCACTTTCTTCAATTATATCACTCCAAGGAGAGTGTTATAAAGTCACTGTCACTTTTCTAAAACTTTTAGAGCTCTGTCACAGTTCAGAGAACAGTCGAATCTTCTAGAAAGTTATCAGATAATGTAACTTTTCATTTTGCTCGGTTTTTGTTTTTTGTTTTTCTATTTTTATTTAACAGGAATTGTTCCATTAAGTGAATTAATTAAACTAGACTTTACAGATAACTTCCTCATACTTGACTTGGTGGAATAAACTCTATTTCCAATCAAACACTGTAGTTCCAAGTAGTGAGTTAGGACTCCCTTACTGATGGCTATCCGTTGCCAGGAGCAACGGAATACAGTGAGGGCGAGGTATACAACCGGTGCAATTATCCGCCCCTGTTGGCCTCTTTATCATTTACTCAGTTGCAATTTTCCGCAATTCCCTTTTCACTGTGAAGAGTTGAAGCGGATCGAACCAACAAATTCGTCATGCACGCGCGGATTCTGATTCTTCTGTGAGTAATCGAGTATAGACGCGCTTGAGTACTCACTCTGTCACCACTTTTCGATGACTGTGGATTTTATTTTAATTCTCCAATCACTTTATACAATAACTTTAAATTGATTAACATCCAATTCTTGTCTTATGACTCAATTACCGGTTTGATAACTCGATATTCCCATCAGTATTGACCACAAAAATTCAACGGCCTTTACAAGAACGCCACACGATATCTGGAATTCTGATCGGGTTTTATTTAAAAATATATTCAATGATTGTACTGCCAATGAACGTCAGAGTTTGCAGTGCACTTTGCTCTTGATGTCATCCAGGAATCCCGTAGACATCAGTGAACCTTGAAATGAGTCAAAGGATGGTAATGCCTGATTCACCCGTGTTCTTCGCAATTCTTCCATCACGATCAAACCAGACACACTCGCGATTATTTCGCAGAGCTAAGAAACCCCTTGCCATTCGTTTGAACGGATCCACAGGCAATCGGATCGATCGATCCGGCCGCACATTTGCGCGCCCCAGGACAGTGCGATAGACACTCCACGCTAAGGCACTTATCTCCTCGACTCGATTCCCCGTGGCGTTTATGATTTACTGCTACTTTTCTCCGATCCTCGGTACACCGTCGTGGACGTCAAAACCCTTTCTCATCTCAAAAATTACTGCTTCCAACTGTACTCCACTCTTATTCTACGATACTCTTCTTTTACGTTAATTATCTATTGCTCGCCATCTTTTTACTCCTGAAAATATAAAAATTTTTCAATCATCAGATTATTTTTTTTTTTGTCTCAACTTGAACTTGTGAATTGTTTCGTGCGATAATTTATTTATAAATAATTTTTATTCAAGTTTAAAAACAATTTGAAAAATATTTTTATTCGAGAAGTATAAGAGGTTGTAAAGGTAAAAGAGCGTACGTTTTTCGGAGGCGATCCGATCGGACCGGCGAACGCGAAGTCACTGACGCTTGGCAGGCTGTGAGTAGAGTGTAAGAGAGTCACCTCAACACTGAAAGTTACTAGCGAATCAACTGTATTGGACGCTCAGGTACGCGAGTCGTAATATGGATAGCACTACTACCAATACAAACATCACCTTTTTAACAACTGCTCATCGCTGGAGGGCACGTCCTCACGTGTTGGTGTAGGGGCTGGCACAAGATTCATAGGTCGAATGTACTCTGCACAGAATACGCACTATGAAGCTCACCTTCTCGTCTCTTTATTATACATGCAGACTCCGCCATTGTGTTCAAATAGCTGTGTGTAAAGCCAACATTAATAAAAAAAAAAGAAGAAACATCAAGACTCTACGCTCTTAATAGCTACTGGGAGAACATAATCACGCGTAATCATTAATGCCGCTACCAACGCACGCGCGTCGTAACTCTCCCGCGCAGGAAGTTGTGCTCTTGTATCGTATTGTGGGACTGTTCTTCAAGAACTGTGCGGTACTCGTACTCTACTTGAATCTTCTTTATACAGACAACGGGAGTACATAGCAGTCTGTGAGAAAATGGAACGACCTTGAGTTTCGTCCTCGCAAACTGGAGAACGACCGAGAACATTTCTTCGGTCTTCTTCATTCCTTGCTATATCACACAGCCTGTGTGTTACATCAGATGACCTTTGGGTTTTTTCAAACGTGACATCAACCAATCAAGGCTTTCACTGCCTTCGATGTAATCGGTTAGGTTTTATTCGAGTTTTACCAGTTTTGCATTTTTTCGTTGATGAGGGCACTAATAAGGTCATGTTGATTTTAATTGCTTTTTCTACTGAGCTGCTAATTACAAAGATCCTCAGTAATTTTGATCTTTTAAAAATAAACTTTTTTTATTCATGTCAACAAATTGATTGCAATAATTATTTTATTTAAGCTTTGAGAAAAATTAATTCTTTAATTAATAACTACCGCCATGTATGAATATTTATCACTGTTTAACAGTAGTTTCTCTCATCGTGAACTTGAGAAGGAAACTTGGCAAGACTTAACTATAATGAGCACGAAAAAAAAAAAAAAATTTCTAGAAATTAATCATCAAGAAATAATGATCAAAAATAAAAAATAACAGACAGATAATTATTTGAATTTATTTTTAATCGACAATAGAATCATTTTTAACGACTGCAAAAATTCTTACAATGAAAAACGAAAAAGGAATTCTTTGATCATCTTCTGAAATCCAATTGAATCATCAGGATTTATTTTATCTAATTACCGGACGAAAAATAAAAGATAAACTTCTAATTATTCATCAACACCTAATCATGCCCGTTGGCACAGAGAAGGTTGAAACAATTAATAAAATCTTTGACGAAGTTCTACAGCTGGTGTTCAAATTATATATATATATATATATATATATATATAGTATCCTCTCTTAAAAATGTTATAATGGATTTCCTAATAACTGCTCTACGTTTCGGCCGCCGGAGGTTATATTCTCTTTCTCTGCCTCAATCCCATTTACTGGAACTTGGCTTTCTGAGAAAAACATCGCCGTTGAATTCTTGAGGTGTTGTTTTTTTGAGTCTCCATGGAATCTTGCTCTTCTGCAACTGCATAAGTGATATTCTTCACCATCAATGTTTTATAAAATATCCTTTTTATCATTTTATACGTGTTTTTTTTTTTCGTAAAATCTCTCTTTTAGATCTCGAAAGTATTTGCATTTTTGTTTTTTGTTACCCAACACAGTAGACTAGTTCAGGTTATACAATTAATTGATGGCAAGTAATATTATTTTCTTTGCATCTGTGACGATATAAAATTTCCAACAATTTTCTCTCAATTTTATATGAGGTTAAATCATTAAATATATAACCAGAAGACCTTGCAAGGACAAGGCCGTTACTTTGAACCTCTCAGAAACTTTATAACCAGTGTCAGAGTGTATAAAACTCAAAGAATAATTCTGCAATTAAACTCGTGATTTTTTTTGTAATTTATCACGATCATTGCTTGGCTCCAATTAAGTTTCTGCCTGCACTCTAGGGATGTTAGGCTCTATAGTAATTGGTATTTTCATTATTTCTCTTGTCAATTCAGTCAAATAAACAGACACACCTTACTTCATTGTTATTTGTCAATAATAAACTCTGAAGAAAGAATATAAAAAATATTTTAGCCATAAGAATTTTAAATAGAATTGGACAAAAGGTAATACGCAAAGACTCGTGCTTGAGGTTTTGCACCATCAGAAGTCGATTGGCTCTAGACGGTGAAAACAATCCCATCAGCAACGTTCTACGTTTGTAAATGAGTTTCTTTGTATGACTTTATGAAAGAGTGTGTAGTGATGGTCATGGCATATGCAACCGGATTGGCAATTTTTTTTCTAGATTTTTTACACTTTCGTTTTTGGGTGGAAGTGGGTAGGAGAAAAGATCAATCTGAGTTATTTTTTCGTAGGTGGATACTATGAATTTTTTTCTTTTTATTTGCGAAACCATTCTGCAGGTAACGAAATTCTTGGTATATGTCAGTTTGAGGATGAATAGCATCGAAATTATTAATTTATTACTGTGCTTTTAAGACTATTAAATTTAAATAAAAAGCTGAATTCAATATTTATATGACTGTAAAAAGCCCCATGCATTCTTTCAGTTATTTCCTGATCTCTTTGAATGCGAACAAAAACCAGATATCCTGGTTCTCCCACGCGAATGAAATCAGATTCTCCTAGAGGCTTTCCCACTCCCTCAACTTCAATAGAATATTTTGCAGAAATCATAGGGCTATATCCTGCTTTTCTATTTTTACTAAACGATGCTGATATTTTAGTTTTGTTCAATTTAGAGAGCCATTTATTTTATTCTGTCATAGTTATTGTCAGAGTAGATGAGAAAATTTGACCTCGAAATGAAACAACGCTTTAATAATATGGTGTTCGCTAAAAATGAATCAATGGATGTACACTGACTTGCAGTGAGTTTCATTTTTAAAGAGTGTATGAAAATTTTACAATGAAATACAGCAAATCATTTTTTTTTTCTACCGACCCATCAAAACTTGGCTTATACTGCTCGTAAAAATTTTGTAGTAAATTACGAACACGCCTACTCGTCTACATTGACTTCGTTATTTTTAACTATTGCTTAACAATATACGATTATGCAAAAATAAAAGCTTGCAAACAATAACTTTTTTAAAAGTAATGTATTTATTTTTTCTTTCCTTTGATTTTTGAGCTGTTTTTTGTTTTTAACAAAAGGCAATGACTGATGTATAGAGTTTTCTCTTGGTTCTTTTATAATTCCCCAAAGAAAAAGAAAAAATACCTTTAATAAGATATTATTAGTTCTTGTATGTTTAGTTGCGTGTGGTCAGTGTGAAATCGAAACTTTTACAGCTCCTGTCATGTTGATATCTAGAGAAGTGAAAAAAGTCGATCAGAAGCAAAAGTGAAGAAGAAATAAGTAAAGTTGATGCAAAGTGACAAGATGTATATTTTTCCCAACCAACTTGATCTCTTCTAGTTCGTCGAGTAGATGGACTTTGCGCCCACGGCTTTCCCCAATATCTCGCCGACAACTACTACGAGCAGTACAGACTGCGACCACGGACGACGATGAACCTTCAAGGCCGCCGATCATGCCAATAAACCGGCGCTTGACCTGTGTTTCTTTATGATTCCCTAGCTCGGGTCGTGATTTTTTAGTCTGACCAGCGGCAGTGCGACGATCAACTCCTCTCTATATCTCCCTCAGTAAGACGCTTCTCCATCGGCCTTGGATCCAATTGAGTACCTCAATAATCGTTCAGGGAGCTTGCTACTGTCATGCATTAGAAAGTTGCCCACGCATTGTAATTAAAGTGGGAAAAATTAATTTTAATCAAATAATTGCAATGCAAACTATATTACAACCTACTTCATTACCTTATCTTTATCATATCCCGCATCAATTAATTCTTTTATTTCAATTTATTTGAATTTATGAATTCATAAACACATTGAATCGCTTATAGCACACATATACACCGTGTGTACGCTAATATTTTTTTGTAATTGTCAGTAGAATTGAAAGCAAAGGTGCTTAGATGCATGCAGCCGTTAAATCGGAATCATTATAATTAGCGAGTAGGCCGAGGACAGTAACGATGAAGCAGCACGACTCAGAACTCAGAACACAGCAGGGAAGACGCACGGACTCTATACCGGACAACGAAGCTTCGCGGTAGGATCTTGATACTGGGCGAGGCGTTCAGGGTCGCTTGGTGTCCACATCAGGCATGTCAAATATGCAGCTCCAACATCCAAGAAGACCCTACATAATCGTCGGTACCATGTGGTCCTGTTAGTGCATTACACATTTAGACTCGGTGCTATCACATGAATTTCTGCATTCACTCTTGATATTACACATCGTGCTTATTCTATTAAGATAATGTTGTACGTTATGGTGACAGTTGCTTTACCTTTATTTTCACTAGTTATCATCATTATTTTTATTATTACGATACGCATCAAGTAAATGCCTGGATAATATTTTTTATTTAAAGCAAGAATGTTTCTAAAAGCATTTGCATCCATGGAAATATTTTATTTCAATTTTTTTGCAAAAATAAAAGTGGTGTCTTTTAGTTGAAACTCATTTTAAGAAAATTCTTCAACAGTATTCATCTCCATTGAATTAGAAAATTATAAGTTATTAGAAATAGTGTATATGATTGGAGTGTAGTTAGAAAGCTCATTTAAACTAGAAAAATCATGAAACGCTGTCACTATCTTATTTTATGGTACAGAATAAAAAAAATAACATTGATGATGAAGTTAAATTCTACAGTAAGAATAAGTATAAGAAATAATCGATGGGTAAAAATACAGAGAAATTTATGGATGTTTGTGAAGAAGCATTCTGACGGCAAGATTTAACGAGTTAAGAAGTTGAAGAGAAGTCAGTGGATGATGGTATAAATATGACGGCCAAAATTCAAGT